TAAATAGGAAAGAACATGAAGAGAAGAAGCAAAAGAATCAAAAGGAGAGAGTTGTGGAAAATAAGGACAAATGATAAAAAAGGAAGGAAAAGAGAAAATCGGACGAGCAGATATGAAGACAACACACACACACACACACACACACACACACACACACACACATACACACACACACACACACACACACACAACACACACACACACACACACACACACACACACACACACACACACACACACACACACACACACACACACACACAACACACACACACACACACACACACACACACACACACACACACACACACACACACACACACCAGCGCTGGCGTTTAAGTGAATGATTTCATATGCATGTTTTTTCATTCTTTCTTTTTTTTTTCTTTTCTTTTCACTTTTGTGTTAAGCGCTGTGACTGACTGCATACGTATAACATATATGCGCGCCCTGTGTGTATGTGAGTGTGTGTGTGTGTGTGTGTGTGTGTGTGTGTGTGTGTGTGTGTGTGTGTGTGTGTGTGTGTGTGTGTGTGTGTGTGTGTGTGTGTGTGTGTGTGTGTGTGTGTGTGTGCGGCTGCCTGCCTGCCTGTATGCTCTTATGTATGTGGGCATGTGTGTGAGGCGGGCAATAACGGTGTTGCAAGGCTGCTCTTCTCTCTCTCTCTGTTTCTCTGTGCTCTCTCTCTCTCTCTCTCTCTCTCTCTCTCTCTCTCTCTCTCTCTCTCTCTTCTCTCTCTCTCTCTCTCTCTCTCTCTCTCTCTCTCTCTCTCTCTCTATCTCCTTCTCTCTCTCTCTCTCTCTCTCTCTCTCTCTCTCTCTCTCTCTCTCTTCTCTTCTCTCTATATATATTATATATATATATATTTATATATTATATATATATATATATATATATATATATATATATATATATATATATATATGTATATATCTCTTTCTCATAAGGAGAAAATGGGCGACAGAGAAGTAGACAGACGAAAGGAACGAGACAGACAGAGAGCGAGAGAGGCGACAGCAGCCAGCGCGCGGTGTCACAGCCCTCAGTAAGATCGAGTCTGTTGCCAAAGCAAGACTAATCCCACGCCGCCATTGCTGGGGTTTGCAAGCCTATTGCAACCTGGGACTCGGTCGGGAGGTCGCGCGCTGCCCATCCTTGCAATATATATATATTTTGGGTTTCCTTTGTCTCCGGGCGCCGATAGCCTTATCTTGCCCCCTATCTTGAGCCTCCTGGTTGGACGCGGGGAAGACGGATGTAATGCGTGTGTCAAGTATGCTGCGTGTCAGCTGATTGTGGTCTGGGTGGAATTTCCTTTTGGTGAATAAATACGTATGGCAGGATAAGGAGTGAAAAGACGTGTATCTCGGTATGCACACACGAGACTTACACATACACAGACACACACAACAACACACACACACACACACACACACACACACACACACACACACACACACACACACACACACACACACACACACACACACACACACACATATTATATATATATTATATATATATATATATATATATATATACATACATACAAATATTTATTTATTCAAGATGCCTGTATGTATGAAAATGTGTTTATTTTGTATAGGGATGTACCATTCATTGTATTTTCTCATTCACTCCTATCTTTTTTTCATCCCCCCCTCCCTTCATCCCTCTTACTGTCCATCTTTCCATCCCTTCCTCCTTCCCGCCTTTCCATCCTTTCTTTCCCCCCTCCCCTCTTCCCAGCCTCCCTCCTTCCTTCTCTCCCTCCGACGCTCTCTCCCGCCATCCTTCCTCCCTCCCTCCCTCCCTCTCTTCCCTCTCCCCGCCGCCTCCAAGCCGCCTCCCCCTTCCCACACGCACGCACAAGGCCAGTATGGCAAGCGCCCCGACTAACGGAGGCAGAGGGTCGAATCTGGTCACCTGGCTGAGGGGCGGAGGCGGGGCGAGGGGGGGAAGGAAGGGGAGGGGGAGGGGAAGGAAGGAGAGTGGGCGAAAGGGGAGGGGGATGAAGAAGGAGGGGCGAAGGAGGGGAGGGGAGGGGGAGTGGGCGAAGGAGGGGTGGGGGAGGGGGGGAGGGGAAGGAAGGAGGGGGAGAGCGATACCATGCGGGGATATGGGTGAGTCATGCACAGCTCTCTTTTTCCCATTCTCCGTGTCGTTTTTTTCCTTATTACATGCTTCTTCATTTTCTTTTTTTTTTCTTTTTTTAATCGTATGATGGTCTTTCGTTTCTTTTTTTTGTTTGTTTCTTGTTCCTCGTTAATTGATTTTTTTCTATTTTTTTCCTCTTCTCTTTCTTTTACTCTTCTTCGTAATCCTCCTACTCCCTTTACAACTGATTTTTCGCCTCATTCCTCAGTTATCTCATTATCTCTAATTTGCTAATCCCTCACTCTCCAGGTTTCACGCTTTCTGTTTTGTTTCGTTTTGTTTTGGCATTTCTTCTTTGTTTTTTTTTTTTTTTTTTTTTTTTCTTTATTTCTTCTTTGTATTTTTTTTCTTTTCGTCGTTTTTTTTCAACTAGCCTTTGTTCCAAAACTTCCTAAAATCGTCCACTATCTCGCTGTCTCTCTGTTTTGTTTTCGTTTTGTTTTATTCTTATTAGCTTTTTTTTTTGTTTTTTTCCTTTTCGTCTTTTTTTCTTATTTGTTTTTTCTTTTCGTCGTTTTTTTCAACTTTTTGTTCCAAAACTTCCAGAATCGTCCACTATCTCGCTGTTCTCTGTTTTGTTTCGTTTTTGGCATTTCTTATTAGTTTTTTTTTCCTTTTTGTCTTTTATTTCTTATTTGTTTTTTTTCTTTTCGTCTTTTTTTCAACTTGCCTTTGTTCCAAAACTCCCCAAAATCGTCCACTATCTCGCTGTCTCTCGCGGTGGAGTTGTTTACCTTTTCGACGTTTTCGCTTGCAATGTTAATTAGGGTTTTATCTTCATTCCAGGTAAGATGGCGAATTGAGGCGCGGTGTTGACATCGCGGTGAGTACGGGTTTCCTTAATTCTTTGCTCCTACCGGATTGTCCTTTCTTTTTTTTTGTATGTGGATTATTTTTGTTTGTTTTGTTTACTTTTTTGGTTTTCGCTTTTTTTCTTGTTTTTCGTTCTCTCTTTTTTTGTTTTTCTCTTTTTTTCGTTTTCTCTTTTTCTTGTTTTTCGTTCTTTTTCTCTTGCTACATAGGAGTGGGTGGGGGCGAGGTGTCAGGTGACCTGTCCCCGTCAACTGGTCTTCTTATCTGTCACTGCAAGTGTCATCGGCGTTGTCCTGGTGATGGAGGAGCAGCAAGGGAGATGCCGCGGTGTGAAGGATGGCTTCAGCGGGGTGGACTCCCGGCCTGTCTTGCTTCTCAGTGGAAACTGCTCAAGGCCCTGGGATTTAAGGGTCTTAGTTTGAGGGAGTCTGAGTTTTAAGGGTCTCTGGTATGAGGATCTGGTATTTAAGGGTCTTAGTAAAGATCTGGTAATTAAGGGTCTTGGGGGGGGGTTTGAGTTTTAAGGGTTGCTGGTATAAGGATCTGGTATTTAAGGGTCTTAGGCTGTAGGATTGTGAGATTTAAGGGTTTTGGGATGGATTCTGATTGAAGATCGAGTGTCTGGGATTGAAGGGTGTTAGGATGCTAGTTTTAAGGGTCTATGAATATGGATCTGAAATTTAAGAGTCTTAAGATGTAGGATTCTGAGATTTGAGATATAAGGGTTTGAGATTTAGGGATCTAAGATTTAAGGATCTAAAACAAAAATGTTCTGAGATTTAAGATTCAAAGTCATAGACATCAAATATTTAAGGATCTGGGATATCAGGCCTTATATAAAATGGTCTGAGATATACGGACATAAGATTTAAGGTTCCAGGACTTCGACTTTACGTCTGGGAGCCATAAGGGCCTATAATTTAGCTTCCAGGGATGTAAGGATCGAAAATTCTAAAATCTATAGTGACAGAAGAAGATGGAGATTTTGAGCGAGGAGCGCCTTCCTTCGCCGAGGGTCTGCAGGCGCGTCCGCTGAGCCTCCGGAGGGCCCGACGCACCGTTAGGGCAAACGTCCACGCGGCAGAAATATGGGATAATGACATGGGGTCGCAGTGATAGCAGGGGTTATGTGGCCCCGGGCGTCGTCTGCAAATGGCGTAACGATGGCCACGCTTTTCCGTTGCTTATTCTTGCCTTGTTTTTTTCTTTCTGTGTTTTGATTTTAGTTTGTTTTTGTTTTGTCAATCTTTGTTTTTGTTTTTAGTTTTTTTTCATTCTTTGTTTTTGTTTTTAGTTTTTTCATTTTGTTTGTTTTTGCTTCCCTTTCTCTTCTCGTCTCTCTCTCTCTCTCTCTCTCTCTCTCTCTCTCTCTCTCTCTCTCTCTCTCTCTCTCTCTCTCTCTCTCTCTCTCTCTCTCTCTCTCTCTCTCTCTCTCTCTCTGAAAGTAATGAATGGTGTTGCACTCGAGGGACACCAACATTCCAGGTGCATCGGTATTTCCCGTAGACTGTGTTGCTCGCGCGCGTTGCCCAGTGTGTGTGTGTGCGTGTGTGTGTGTGTGTGTGTTGTGTGTGCGTGTGTGTGTGTGTATGTGTATGTGTGGTGTGTGTGTGTGCGTGTGTGCGTATGTGTGGGGTATGTATATTTCACGAGAGAGAGAGAGCACATGTGTGTGCAAGTAAGTTCCGCGCGCGTGCCGTTTTGATGGACATAAATAGACGTACACGAAGCGCACGTGCGCAGGGTGGCGACCTGCTTGAAGAAATGGCTAGAAGGAAGGAGCGCAAGAGGCCCTTTGATGTGGAGGCGCACGCGGGCCGGAATGAGGGTGAGGGCTGGCAGGGGGCCGGGGATGCAGGGCTGGCAAGCGGGGCGCCGGGGATGAGGCTGGCAAGGGGGCCGGGATGAAGGCTGGCATGGGGCGGGGATGAGGCGTGGCAAGGGGGCCGGGGGGATGAGGGGCCTGGCAATGGGGGCGGGGATGAGGGCTGGCAAGGGGGCGGGATGAGGGCTGGCAAGGGGGCGGGGGATGAGGGCTGGAGGGCTGGAGGGCTGGGCGGGGAAGGCTGGCAAGGGGGCCGGGATGAGGGCTGGCGGGGCGGGGATGAGGGCTGCAAGGGGCCGGGGATGAGGGCTGGCAAGGGGGCCGGGGATGAGGGGCTGGCAAGGGGGCCGGGGATGAGGGCTGGCAAGGGGGCGGGGATGAAGGGCTGGCAAGGGGGCTGGGATGAGGGGCTGGCAAGGGGGCGGGGATGAGGGCTGGCAAGGGGGCCGGGGATGAGGGGCTGGCAAGGGGGCTGGGATGACTTACTGGTGGTCGACCTGGCCAGCTGGCGACTTGACTGACTGGCTTGGCGGTTTGGCGGAAGGATCGGCTGGTGGTGGGTGGAGTGACTGGTCGGTGGATGGGTGGAGTGACTGGTTGGTGGAATGGGTGAGTGACGTGGGTGGATGTGACTGGAGTGAATGGAGGGCTGGGGAGTGACTGGTTGGTGGCGGGTGGAGTGGACTGGTTGGTGGGTGGTGGAGTGACTGGTTGCGGGGTGGATGGAGGGCTGGTTTAAGGATGGGGGAGTGACTGGTGGTGGTGAGAGTGGGGGCTGGTTGAAGGATTGGAGGAAGGGTTTGATGGCTGATGGACTTGCAGAGGGAAAAGCTGGTGAACTGGTGGAGTGACTGACTTTACAGCTGGATTAATTAGTGGACTTACTGACAATTGGACTGCTGAATGACTGGTCGACAAGGCAGACTGCCAGTGGACCGCTAAGCTGAAAAACTGGTTGTCAGCCAAATTAACTGACTTGCTGACGGATTGGTAGCCGGGATGACCAGCTGACAGACTGACTAGTGACCAGACTGACTGACAGACCGACTGCCTAACGTGCTGGCGAGTGGACTGGTGGACTGGCCGGCTGACTGGTCAAGTGTCTACCTAGAGCCCGCTGATGATACGAGCCAGCGAAGTTTTTCCTTTTAAAGGTAAAATGGCAGGGAAGTTGACCGCCGCGGCAGGTTTTAGTTATTCTCTCTTGGCTCGTTTTCTCCTCTCGTTTCTTTTCTGTCTTCTTGTTTTTTTTAATTAATTCTTTGTGTTTTATTCACCTTTTTCTTCTATTTTTTTCTTTTTTATTCATTTGTTTTCTTTCTCTCTCTCTCTCTCTCTCTCTCTCTCTCTCTCTCTTCTCTCTCTCTCTCTCTCTCTCTCTCTCTCTCTCTCTCTCTCTCTCTCTCTCTCTCTCTCTCTCTCTCTCTCTTTTGCGAAACCGTTGTTCTATTAATTTGGATTTTGACCTGTTATACACCCATGTCATGTCTAAATTGACTTACGCACTGGCGCATGAACGAGTAGATTCGAAAACTGTGAACAAACCAACGAGACGGACCGTTTAAAGTTATACGAGATTGTGAATGATGATGATGATAAAAGTGATGACAAGGATGATGGTGTTGATGAAGATAATGATGATAACGATGATGGTGATGATAAAGATAATGTTGATAATGAAGAGGATAATATGGTGATGATGATAAGAATGATAATGGGTATGATAAGAATTATGATGATAATCATAATAATAATGGTGGTAATGACAGTAATGATGTTTATAACAATGATAATAATGATAACTGTGATAATAATCTTAGTAATGAGAAAGAGTAGAGAGACAGAGAGAGGAGAGAAGGGAAGAGAAGAGAAAGAGGAGAGAGAGAGAGAGAATAAGATGATAACTAGAAGAAGCGGGTCGCATCTCCTGCAGTTCGCACCTGGCAGCGGGTCCCTCGTCCCCCAGTGTCGTGGCGATAACGTTTCGCGGTCACACACGGGCGGCGTGTGTGACCAGGTTCGACTCGTCACGGCCGGACACCTTGGCGAGAGGTCAAGCGCCCAAGCAGTCAACTAAGTGGCGCTCTGAGTGGTGTAGTTTTTAACTGTTATTATAGCTAAGTTTTGTTTGTGAATTGTGAGTCCACATAGGGATTTATTAGGGTAGGGGAGAGGATAATCTAAGTTATCTCATCCCTTTGAAGTGTATTTTTTTGTGTTAAGCAACGTGTCAAAGTAAAAAAAAAAAGATTTTTTTTTTTTTTTTGGGGGGGGGGATTTATTAGCTTTCTGTTAAAGAAAGGAAAATGAATACGAATATGGCCGCCGCGCACCAACGTTCGTGAAGTCCGTGCCGTGTGCTCGTGAAACTGCAAGTTCTTGTGGCTGTTTAATGGGAAATCGGAGATGGAGGGATGGGGGTGGGGGTAGGGTGGGGGGAAGGAGAGGAAGGGGAAGGGGGAAACAAACACACAACTTATACCGCTGAGTCACCGACGTGTGTTTGTTATTGAGGGTTCCAGAGAGTGAGAATGGATATGACCGGCAGCAGTTGTCTTAGAGTACGCTATCCCTCGCTTAGGACCCACAGCATTTATAGCTCGTAATGCGCAGGACCTTCCTCGTTTTAGGCCGAGAGCTAGAAGAGCACAACGGGTACGGTTAGAGTCGCTGGTGAAGAGAGGTTGTGGCAACGTGTACACCAT